ACATCCTGCGACAATACCTTTAACACCATCAGACAACAACATCTGCCTATCCCAGGTCCTTTGGAAGGACTCGACAGGTGGATAAAAATGCCAAATCCAGTCTAAACATCTGGTTGACTGTGCAACCAACAATAATAATGTCATCCCTGCTGTGCTTTATGTGAAACTTAATATAGAATATAATCAATTATATAATTAAAAGTAAATTGATTGATATTGTATGAGTAGTTGAAACTTAATCATAGGGCAGTTGTGAAATTCTGGCAGTCTTCTCATCTCCACCTTTCATTAAGTTTATAATTACAAAAGTTGGTCAATTTTAACATCTTTCTATTATAAAGTACTTGAAATACTGTCAAAGTTTATAAAACACTGGAAATATGACTCAGGTCTATCAGGAAATTAAACTGTGTTGGACATGCACTTATAAATTCTGGTAACATAATTTTGTAAGTATGTTGAATGATAATGCAATAGTAAAATATTGTTAAGAGGTACCACAGCTCTATCTATTGGGAATATTGCCTGAAAGATAATCCTTTATTTATTATATGTGGTACTGAGCATCTTACAAATTACAGCTTCAGATACAGTCAGGGCTCATTTGAGATTGCCTTTAATGAAATCTTTATGTCAGCTGTCTAGAACTGAAGTAAATAACTGAATCAATATACTCTTTACTCTCTCCAAAAGTACAATGAATCAATAGACCTTGAAAACATTTATTTGACTTGTTAAAAGGCTATTACTTAAACATTGTCCTAAGTGTTTTGCAGTTTCCATCTGTCACATCCCAAACCAGGCTCAAATTATGTGGTAATGATTTTGCATAAGAAATTAATTAAAATATAGGCAAAATTCCAACAATATTAATTTGTACTATGGAATGATAATTTAGCAGTTACACTTCCTACTATAAAAATAATACATATAATCCTATAAAATGAGAAGTGTATTCATAGTCATCTAGTCAAATAAAAAATGGGTTTAAATGCCTCTGGTTTGCTAGACCTGTTCTGGTTCAACTCTTCTTTTCAAACATCTCTTTCTGGAGCTTAGAAGATGAACAAAATTTATTACAAACTATATTACAAACTTTGAAGACTTTAGTTCATGAATTGAGACATTTTGCAAACCCAATTCCTAAAGTTGACAGGTGGGGGATGAGTGAGTGAGTGAGTGAGTGAGTGAGTGAGTGAGTGAGTGAGTGAGTCTATCTATCTATCTATCTATCTATCTATCTATCTATCTATCTATCTATCTATCATAGCTATCAGATTCCCGTGGAATATTTTCCATTCCGTCAAGTATATTATAAATGTGTGAACACCAAATATATCCATATGGACTATCCCATATAGTCTTTTTCCTTTTAAAAAATATTTTTATTGGTAAAATTTAACAGAAATACAATACTGAAAAGGAGGAGCCGGGTGTAATGGGGGCAGAAAGCACTAGTCATGTTCTACTCATCTGTAAGAGCCCTCTGGATTTTTCTGCAGTGAAACCCAGAACTATGTAATCAGTTTCAAACTTAGCAGTCTTGTTCCCAATAGAATGTTTAATGTTGCTTACAAATTTCACCCAGTTTTTCCAAGAAAATATTATATATGGAGGGGGGGGTGTGTCTATGTATATGTGTGTATGCATACAGTCTATTAATGGGTAATACAGAAAGTGATGTGTTCTCTTGCAACTTGATTTTGTCAAACTTTCAGTGTCTGTTTTTGGATATACTATATATGTATACAAATGTCAAACTGGACACTTAAACTTGTGAAAGCAGAGAGAAAGCTAGTGTTATAAAGTACAGTCATTGTGACATGTGATATTTTAATCTTGACATTATCTATTCTGAGTCAATGTTCTGGTATGCCTTTTATTCTAGGCAAAGCAGAGCAAATAGCATTCTAATTAGCATAAAACCAAAACTGTTCAACAAATCTAGCATTTCTTGGTTTTTTAAACTGTAATCACACTATTTTGTAATGAAGAAAATAGTTACTTGAACATAGTTATACTAATGATTGACTTGATTTCCCCAAGGCAAATTTTCTTTGTCTAGCCTTGCACTGAGAAAATTTACTATAGATTATTGTAATACTGTATTAGGGTTTTGCTGCCCTAAAGCCTCTTGTCCTATAAAGGTAGGGGGAGGAATAGTCAGAAAGTGAAGATGTTTGTTTCCTCATATTTAATCTTTTGTAACATGATAGAGTTATTAATATGAGTTAAATTAATATTCAGCCAATCTGCTTTAAATGAATGGTACATAAAAATAAGGTTATTAAGGAAATGGGAGGGGGAAGTAACTTTTAAAGGAAGATGATAATGGAGTTGATTCTTTTAAAAAATATACTGTGATTTCATTTAGGCTTTTAAAAGGGATTATAGGTAGTCCTCAAGTTACAACTATTCGTTCAGCTACCATTTGAAGTTACAGCAGTGCTGAACAAATGGTACTTATGCCTGGTCCCTGAAGTTATGGTTGTTGAAGTATCCCCACAGTCATGTGATCAAAATTTGCACATTTGATAGACCACTTATGACCACAGGGCCACTTCAATTCCTCCACCTGCCTATCTTCCCCCATCTCTGCCCTTCTGGCTGCCCTGCACAGTGGCATTCCTTGGTGGTGGCACTGGGTTGAAATAGAGGCTCAGGGCCTTCAACAGTCTCAGCCCCCCCCCCCCAGTCTCTACTTCAGCCTGAGCACTGCCACTACCCTACACCAAGCCCCACACCATGGTCAACCACCCCAGTACCATAGTGCAAAGCCCTGTCCCCGCCACCCTACACTCTGCAGGTGCTGCCGTGCCCAGTCTTCATCCTGCTACTGATGGAGACCACCCAGCCTGGCCCTATGCGAGGCACCTGTGGCCATGCCAGGCCTTCTTCCTGAAGCTGCTCACATCATTCTCAAATAGTGCATGCAGGGTGGCAAGGGCGACAGAGCTGGTAGGGCAAGCAGAGCACAGGGCAGCAAGGCTGGCAGAAGCAGTGGAGTGCAAGGTGGCCAAAAGGGCAGAGATGGGGGGAGATAGGCAGGTAGGGAGAGTTGAAGAGGAGGCAGTCCCTTACCTTACTGAGGCTCGGGGCTGGGAGGGACCAACCTGGGAATGGCTTGTATTGGGATGGCTCTTCACCTAATGACTGCTGGGATTCAGTTAATGATGGCAACAGGGAGTGTTGGGTTAGCCATCACTAAGCAATGCAGTCATGTGATGTGCTTTATGACTGCATCACTTAGCGATGTAAATTCCAGTTCCCAATTGCCCTAGTAACTCAAGGACTACCTGTACATAGTCTACCTTTACATACAACTGGCCTTTCCTAAATCTTTTTCATAAGAAATTATATGGAGAATGAACTTGAAATGATTTCTTACAGATTATTTTGAGACAATTTCTTATTAATTACTCAGAAGCAAGATTTTCTCGGCCAAATATATAGCTGATTCACTTTTTGCCATCTGTGAACAGATGAACAGAACTTTCATTCAGCAAAATGATTCTGATGGCAGAAAGATTGGGAAGTGAATTTTGCAAGTGACCTCTCCTTCCAGAGGTCTAGAACATTCACAAATTCTTTTTGAGAGGGACAAGGAATTTCAAAGGGATTGAAGAAAAAGTTCCCTCACCTCATTCTGTCAATGAGCTCCATCTGAGGGTTAAATCTGTTCAGAGAAGTATGGATCCAGTTCAAATGGTCATGCATCTCAATGAATTTTGGCATAAATAGAATTTTTAAAGTATTAATCTAGTTCAGATAGCTGGTACTTTTCTGGGTTACCTTGATGAGGGTTACCTGGTGAGTTGAAGGCTCAGTAACCCCCTCTGAATAATCCACACTGGGTAAACACTATATAAAAACCTATGTACTAACTCCCCAGTCCTATGCCTATGCATTTGGTTTTTCCTATGCAGATGCAAGACTACACCTACCTTGATATTGTAACTACAAATTTAAACTTTTACATTCCATG